GTCTATGCAAATATATGTAATTTACTTAATTTAACCCAGGAAAAAAAATTTTAACTGATGAATAATTTTTTATCATTTCATTTGCTACGAATGGAGTTTGCGAAGTTATTTTATATATTTTTTTTCAAAAAATGGGCTGGCTCGAAATTGGTTTTAGACCCATAGTTTCTTAGGCAAAGTTGCACAGTATGATCCGTAGATCATTTTCCGCCTATGCGATTTTCCGTTTTTCAGATCCCCTACAAATCGACCCGCTCTAATGTAAATAAATATTATTTTCTTCATTGTTTTGTTTATTTATTTTATTTTTTGTACTTTATTTTGTTTTTTTATTTAATTTTTTTTTTGTAAACATTTTGTCGCCAATTCAATTTATTGTTGTAGTAAATTCACACTATAGATTTGCAGCTATTAAATACATACATAGTTAAAAGATAACAAATCACGGCAAAGTGGCTGTCAATGACTGTGTAAAATACCATTGATTATTATTACGATACGAGTTCATTTTCCCATACAAAATTGTTGTGAGCGTTATTTTATGATAATAAAAAAAATTGTTGGGCATAGTACATGAGCCGTTTATTTTAAAGTGGAACAGGTGATTTTCTACTTCGTGGGCTTAAATGGTATTAACTTTTAACTGAGTGCATCTGTAAATCGTTCAACCGTGATAAACTAATGACACAACTTTTTACTTTTGGTAGATGAAGTTGAATGAATAAGAGACGTGTTTAGATACTGGTAAATGATCACTGAAGTCAAATGTCATGAAATGACTTAAGTCGCTTTCAAAATAAACGCCGCGCATAACAGTTATACGCACATTAACAGCACCATCATATTCTTTAGATTTTATTTTTAAATTGTATTACTTCAATGTCACATTGTCCTAAATCACTGCTTAAATGGCACTTCAAAATATGTGATTCTAAATTCTCAAAAGCACAAAGGCTATAAATATTTATGCCACTTAAAGTTATTAACATTTCAATGGCTTACATATTTAAGTCATATGTATTTATGTACAATATACAAACGTAATCATATTTTAATATACATACATACATATTTTGCCTTTTGCCCCTGATGAACTCATCCGC